TTCCTAAGTGGCGACTCTGAAAATTTAATAATAAATCCCGTTCCGATTGTCACTTCAAGTTGGAAATAACTCCCTTTATTATTTTATATTATAAAAGGAGGTGTGACAGTTCCAACTTCTAACGAGTCCTAAGTGATCTCATTAACATGAAAGGATATAGACATATACAAACATAGCATGATACGGGTCCTAAACTACCCGGACAATTAACATAATAGTAGCTACGCACGGACTCTCGTTACCTCGTGCGTACGTAGCCCCCACAATTAGCACACATGATTTAATTAACTCACCTATGGGGACAATTCCCTCTTACAAGGTTAGAAAGGAGACTCACCTCGCTCCAAAACGTGCTTCCAATACCAAGAACATGCTCAAACCCTCAATTTAGAGCAGAACGATCCAAAACTAATTAAACGAGGTAGGAACTAGTCAATGCAAGCTCAAGAGTTCGCATTTTAATTACTAAAGTAATTTCCCGGCCTTAAAAACGAGTTTCCTAAAATTCGACCCCGGGCCCACGTGCCTGGATTCCGAAATTTTTCGAAGAAAGTTGTTCTCTATAGCCTAGAGATCAATAATATGCGATTTCTACTTTATTCCATAACAAATTTCGTGGTGAAATCTAAGTTTTATCAAAACCCTAGGTTTTGCTCTAATCCCTTGATTTTTCCTGATCTTTGTGTGTTATTCTACCCAAAACTCAAGTATTAAACTTAGAAATAAGGAGTATGAACTTACCTCAAGATACTAGCTGAAAATCTTCTCTCAAGAGCTCCAAAATCGCCCAATAAACGAGTGAAAAGTGGGCAAAAATGGCCTGGAGCCCGTATTAAATGAGCTCACTGCTTCAGTGATTTCTGCATCTGCGGTCCTGGGCCACCTGGGCCCACCGGATCTGCGGAAAGTTGCCCGCTTCTGCGGAAACTCAACTGGGTCGTTGGGCCGCATCTGCGAGATGTAAGCCGCTTCTGCGGCTCCGCTTTTGCGGAAAAACAACCATTTCTGCGGCTTTGGTCCTGGCCTGGCTTGGCCGCATCTGTGAGAGGAAGAACGCTTCTGCGGTCTCGCACCTGCGGCTGACCAACCGCAGGTGCAGTTATGACAGATAGCTGGGAGCTTCAGCTTCTTCCCGAAATTTCCAACTTCACTCGAGCCTCGCTCGATTGACGCTCGGGGCCCCCGGGCCCCGCCCGAATATACCGACAAGTTTGAAATCATAAAACGGACTCGCTCGAACGCTCGGAACGCCCGAAACAACGCTAAATCTAAGAATCACCCCCTAAAACCAATTGAATCAAACTTATGAACTTCAAGTTCTTCAATTCACTTCTAACGTGCCAGAACGTACTTAAACTACTCGGATTGATACCAAATTTTGCGGGAAAATCTTAAATGTTATATTGGACCTGTACCGGGCTCCGGAACCAACATACGGGCCCGATACCAACATGATCAAGCATTATTCGATTTTATTAAATCCTTAGAATTTCCAGTTTAACAATTTTCAACAAAAATTCATTACTCGGGCTAGGGACCCGGAATTCGATTCCGGACATACGCCCAGGTCCCATATTTTCCTACGAACCCTTCGGGACCGTCAAATCACGAGTCTGGGTCCGTTTACTAAAAATGTTGACCAAAGTCAAACTTAGCCTTTTAAGAAAATCTTAAAGAATCAAGTGTGCTTATTTCAACCCAAACTCCTCCAAATCCCGAATCAACCATCCCCGCAGGTCGTAAATTAGTTAAGGTAAGCGCGGGAAGTCTTATTTAGGGGAACGGGGTTCTAAAAAGCGAAACGACCAGTCGGGTCGTTACATCCTCCACCTCTTAAACAAACGTTCATCCTCGAACAGGTTTATATTCATACCTGAAGTGCCGAATAAGTGTGGATATCTGCTCCGCATGTCCTCTTCGGACTCCCAGGTCGCCTCATCGACTGGTTGGCCCCTCCACTGGACCTTTACTGTAGTAACCCTCTTGGACCTCAACTGGCGCTCATGCCTATCAATAATGACAACTGGCTCCTCCTCGTAGCTCAATCTCTCGTGTAGCTGAATAGTGCTGAAATCTAACACATGGGACCAGTCGGCATGATACCTCCGAAGCATAGACACGTGAAAAACTGGATGGACTCCTGATAAGCTGGGAGGTAAAGCAAGCTCATATGCCTCCTCCCCAACTCGCTTCAACACCTCAAATGGGCCAATAAACCTTGGGCTCAACTTGCCCTTCTTCCCGAATCTCATTACACCCTTCATCGGCGAGACTTTCAAGAGAACCTTCTCGCCGACCATGAATGATAGATCACGCGCCTTCTGATCCGTGTAACTCTTCTGTCTGGACTGTGCCGTGCGAAGTCTTTCCTGAATTAGCTTCACCTTCTCTAAGGCATCTTTCACCAGATCTGTAGCATACAACTTAGCCTCTCCGGGCTCAAACCACCTGATAGGAGAACGACATCGCCGACCGTATAAAGCCTCAAATGGGGCCATCTCAATGCCGGGCTGATAACTATTGTTGTAAGCAAATTCGGCCAAAGGCAGGAACTGATCCCACTGTCCTCCAAAGTCAATCACACATGCCCTAAGCATGTCCTTCAGAATCTGAACTGTCCGCTCCGACTGCCTGTCGGTCTGAGGGTGAAATGCTGTACTGAGCTCCACGCGGGTCCCCAACTCACTCTGAACGGCTCTCCAGAAATGGGAAGTGAACTCAGGGCCTCTATCTGATATGATGGAAATAGGCACACTGTGCAACCGGACTATCTCCTCAATGTAAATCTGAGCCAACCTTTCTAAAGAGTAAGTAGTCACAATCGGAATAAAGTGTGCCGACTTGGTCAACTTGTCAACAATGATCCACACTGCATCAAACTTCCGCAAGGTCCGGGGCAATCCCGCTACGAAGTCCATAGTGATGCGCTCCCACTTCCACTCAGGAATGGGCATCTGCTGAAGTAGGCCGCCTGGCCTCTGGTGCTCATACTTAACCTGCTGGCAATTCAAACACTTAGCCACATACTCCACTATGTCCTTCTTTATCCGTCGCCACCAATAATGCTGTCTCAGGTCACGATACATCTTCGTAGCACCTGGGTGTATAGAATACCGCAAACTATGTGCTTCCGCTAGAATCCTCTCCCTCAAGCNTGAACTGCCTCAATCTTCTTGGGATCCACCTTAATACCCTCTCCAGACACAATATGCCCCAAGAATGCCATTGACTCCAGCCAAAACTCACACTTGGAGAACTTAGCATATAGCTTCTGCTCTCGCAAGGTCTGTAGCACTACTCTCAAATGCTGCTCGTGCTCTCCTAGGCTGCGTGAGTATATCAAGATGTCGTCAATGAAGACGACAACAAAGGAATCAATGTAAGGTCTGAATACCCTGTTCATCAAGTCCATAAACGCCGCTGGGGCATTGGTCAAGCCAAAGGACATCACCAAAAACTCGTAATGACCATATCTTGTACGGAAAGCAGTCTTCGGAACATCTGAGTCCCGAATCCTCAACTTATGGTACCCCGATCTCAAGTCAATCTTAGAGAACACCCTCGCACCCTGCAACTGGTCGAACAAATTATCAATGCGCGGCAATGGGTAATTATTCTTGATGGTAGCCTTGTTCAACTGGCAGTAGTCAATGCGTATCCGCATGGTGCCATCCTTCTTCTTCACAAACAACACCGGTGCACCCCAGGGTGACACACTGGGTCTAATAAACCCCTTTGCCAAAAACTCCTCAAGCTGCTCCTTCAACTCTTTCAATTCTTTCGGAGCCATACGGTACAGTGGAATAGATATAGGCTGGGTACCTGGGGCCAAATTAATACAGAAATCAATATCGCGGTCCGGTGGCATGCCAGGAAGATCAGAAGGAAACACATCGGCGAACTCCCGAACTACTGGAACTGACTCAATCGTCGGAGACTCTGTGGTGATGTCCCGAATATAAGCCAGATAAGCCAAACACCCCTTCTCGACTATATGCCGAGCCTTCAGGAAAGAGATAACCCGACTAGACGTATCAACTGTGGAACCCTTCCACTCCAACCCTGGCAACCCTGGCATCACCAATGTAACAGTCTTGGCATGGCAATCTAGGACGGCGTGGTATGGGGATAACCAGTCCATGCCTAGGATGACCTCAAAGTCGATCATATCAAGCAACAAGAGGTCCGCTCTAGTCTCGAAACTGCAGAATGTGACCACACAGGACCGGTAGATCCAATCCACAACCGCAAAATTGCCCACAGGAGTGGACACATAAACAGGAGTGCCCAAAAGCTCAGGAGCAATAACCAGAAAACGCGCAAACAGAGATGATACATATGAATAGGTGGACCCTGGATCAAATAATACCGAAGCATCTCTGCCACAGACGGAAATGATACCTGTGATAATGGCATCTGAGGCCAATGCATTTGGTCTGGCCGGAAGAGCATAGAATCTGGCTGGAGCGCCGGCTGGCTGGCCTCCACCTGACTGAGCAGTAGCTGGCTGACCTCTCCCTGTTTGGCCTCCACCTCTAGGATGGCCCTTGCCACTCTGTCCCCCGCCTCTATGCGACTGGGCAACCGGTGCCGAAATCATAGGCAGCTGACCCTGCTGTACTGCCTTGCCCCGAAGCCTGGGGTAGTATCTTCTCATATGACCAAGGTCTCCGCACTCAAAACAACCTCGCGGTGCGGCGGCCTACTATCCTGATGGCTGACCCTGACGGCCTGTAGACCCACTAGAAGAACCCTGAATAGCCGGTGGACGGTATGAACCTCTGGCATAGCACTGAAATAAGAACCAGAAGAACCCTGGGGACCTGAATACCCAACGGAGGAACCTTGAATAGCTGGCGGGCGATAAAGAACTCTCTGGCATGGCGCTGAAATAGGGGCGCACTGGAGCACCTCGAGCAGGTGGTGGTGCTGGATATGGGGGCCTGCTGGACTGACCCCTCCCAAACTGACCTCTACCCCTAGCCGAGGCACCTCTAAACTCTCCGGAGAATCTAGCCCTCTTGTCCTGTTGCATCTTCTCCCTACCCCTCAAACGGTAGCCCTCGATCCTCCGAGCAATCTCCACCACTAGCTGATAAGGAGTACCCATCTCCACGTCTCGGGCCATGTTGGCCCTAATTCCAGAATGCAACCCTGCAACGAACCTCCGCACCCTCTCCGTATCAGTAGGAAGTATCATCAAAGCATTGCAGGATAACTCAGAAAATCTCGCCTCATAGTCGGTCACCGACATCTGACCCTGCTCAAGCTGCTCAAACTGATAACGTAGCTCTTCCCTCTCGGAGGGTGGGATATACCTGTTCAGAAATAACTGTGTGAACTCACTCCAAGTGATAGGAGGAGAACCTGCTGGCCTGCCAAGAACATACGACTACCACCATCTACGGGCCCTGCCCTCCAGCTGGAAAGTAGTGAAGTCAACCCCATGTGACTCCAATATCCTCATGTTGTGCAGCCTGTCCCTGCACCTATCAATGAAGCCCTGGGCATCCTCATGACGCTCCCCTCCGAAGATAGGAGGGTGTAGCCTGGTCCATCTGTCTAATAACTTCTGCGGATCTCCATCCGCAGCTGGTCTGGGCTCAGGCACCACTACAGCGACTGGCTGAGCCCCGTCCGCGGGTAGTGCACCCGGAGTGTGATACACTGCAGCTGCATGTCCAGGAGCCTGAGTAGTAGGGGTCTGTGCTCCCCTTCTTGCCTGTGATGTGGCTGGATCCGTTGGAAATAAACCAGCCTGAGTCATAGTATCCATGAACCGCAGCATACGACCCATGACCTCCTGGAAACCCGGTGCTGTCATGAAGTGTGCCGGGGTAGGCTCAGTTGCGGGCACCTCGCCCTGCTCCTCAGTGATAGGATCCCCTGCCGGATCCGCTGGTGGTGCTAGTGGAACAGCTCTAGGACGCCCTCGTCCCCTATCTCGGGTCGGTGCCCTCCCCCGGCCTCTGCCTCGGCCTTTAGCAACAGAGAGAGCAGCTCCTCCCGGGTCTGGAACATCGGTCGTGCGTGTCCTCACCATCTGTGAGAGAATAGAAGAGGGAAATTTAGTACACTAACCACTGCACGATAGGAATTGAAGAAAGAGTAGTTTCCTAACACCCTATAGCCTCTCGAATATAAATACAGACGTCTCCGTAACGATCCGCAAGACTATACTAGGTTTGCCCATGACTTGTGAGACCTACGTGAACCTAGTGCTCTGATACCATGTTGTCACTACCCAATTTCACACCAGGTCGTGATGGCGCCCAACACCATTGTTAGGCAAGCCAATGCGGAAATATTAGTAAGTTCTAGTTTTACTTTTTTTTGTTTTTAAAACAGTTAACACAAATTCTATATTTGAATTCAAAGCAAGAAATGATTAGCATCGAATCGAAATATTTATATCATCCCAAAAGAATAGTCTACCAATGTGTGTGCCAAGACCTGGTGTCACAAGTATATGGGCATCTAGTAGAATACACAAAAGAATAGTCTACCCTACTGTCCGAACTAGAATAGATAGCAAAAGTAAATACAGAAAGACTCCATCACGCTGCTTGTCGACATAGGAAAGGAGCAGCTCACCGTGGAATCTCGGACTACGATCAAACGTGCGCACCAGACTGATAACCAGATGCACCTACCTCAGATCCTGTACAATTAAGTACAGAAGTGTAGTATGAGTACATAGACAATATGTACCCAGTAAGTATCCCGTCTAATCTCGAAGAAGTAGAGACGAGAGGTCGACTTGACACTTACTAGGGTCATTTAATATAATAAGTGTTTTACTACGCATAAATGTCACAATTTATATAGCAATTTATAGCATGAAACAATAAGTCATTCTCTAGAAAATTCCATAATTATCCATTTACATTTTAGGGCATTTAACAAGACAAGTCATGAATATGAATTCACATAGATATCATGCGCACATTATGCCGAGGTCGTACGCCCCGGTCCAACATGAAAGAAATGTGCACTGCTAGAGGGTCGAATGGCGCGAACCATAGATGCATCTATTTCTACCGAGGCGATCGGCCCGATCCACAAATATAAATCATCATCAAGAGGGCACATAAGGCACAATCATAGTCAAATAAATTCACACGAGTTATCAAATGAGTACATGTGTTCTTATACATTGTTCCAACTTCTAACAAGTCCTAAGTGATCTCATTAACATGAAAGGATATAGACATATACAAACATAGCATGATACGAGTCCTAAGCTACCCGGATAATTAAAATAATAGTAGCTACGCACGGACTCTCGTCACCTCGTGCGTACGTAGCCCCCACAATTAGCACACATGATTTAATTAACTCACCTATGAGGACAATTCCCTCTTACAAGGTTAGAAAGGAGACTCACCTCGCTCCAAAAGGTGCTTCCAATACCAAGAACGTGCTCAAACCCTCAATTTGGAGCCGAACAATCCAAAACTAATTAAACGAGGTAGGAACTAGTCAATACAAGCTCAAGAGTTCGCATTTTAATTATTAAAGTAATTTCCCGGCCTTAAACACGAGTTTCCTAAAATCCGACCCCAGGCCCACGTGCCCGGATTCCGAAATTTTTCGAAGAAAGTTGTTCTCTATAGCCTAGGGATCAATAATATATGATTTTTACCTCATTCCATAACAAATTTCGTGGTGAAATCTAAGTTTTATCAAAACCCTAGGTTTTGCTCTAATCCCTTGATTTTTCCTAATCTTTGTGTGTTAATCTACCCAAAACTCAAGTATTAAACATAGAAATAAGGAGTATGAACTTACCTCAAGATGCTAGGTGAAAATCTTCTCTCAAGAGCTCCAAAATCGCCCAATAAATGAGTGAAAAGTGGGCAAAAATGGCCTGGAGCCCGTATTAAACTGCTTCAGTGATTTCCGCATCTGCGGTCCTGGGCCGCACCTGCACCCACCGCATCTATGAAAAGTTGCCCGCTTCTACGGAAACTCAACTGGGTCGTTGGGCCGCATCTGTGAGATGCAAGCCGCTTCTGCGGCTCCGCTTTTGCGGAAAAACAGCCGCTTCTGCGGCTTTGGGCCTGGCCTGGCTTGGCCGCATCTGCGAGAGGAAGACCGCTTCTGTGGTTTCGCACCTGCGACTGACCAACCGCAGGTGCGGTTATGACAGATAGCTGGGAGCTTCAGCTCCTTCCCAAAATTTCCAACTTCACTCGAGCCTTGCTCGATTGACGCTCGGGGCCCCCGGGCACGCCCGAATATACCGACAAGTTTGAAATTATAAAACGGACTCGCTCGAACCCTCGAAACGCCGAAACAACGTTAAATCTAAGAATCACCCCCTAAAACCAATTGAATCAAACTTATGAACTTCAAGTTCTTCAATTTACTTCTAACGTGCCGAAACGTACTTAAACTGCTCATATTGACACCAAATTTTGTGGGCAAGTCATAAATGTTATATTGGACCTGTACCGGACCCTCCGGGACCGTCAAATCACGAGTCCGGGTCTGTTTACTAAAAATGTTGACCAAAGTCAAACTTAGCCTTTTAAGAAAATCTTAAAGAATCAAGTGTGCTTATTTCAACCCAAACTCCTCCAAATCCCGAACCAACCATCCCCGCAGGTCGTAAATTAGTTAAGGCAAGCGCGGGAAGTCTTATTTAGGGGAACGAGGTTCTAAAAAGCGAAACGACCAGTCGGGTCGTTACACACACACAAACACAAACTTTGCTCTCACCAAAAACCTTTCTGCTACTTGTGTTCACTACATTGTCTAGCCGGCTGAAAGCCAATGCTAGATCACTGAGTTGTGCACACTTTCACCTTCTGTTTTGCTATCTTTAACTGGTATGTTTCCGTTCCAAATGCCATTCATCATGTTATAAGCTTAAACCTATGTGCTTTCTTGTCTGTTGCTTTACTTCTGTTGAATCCATGACTTTTCTGTATTTCAATTAGCATGACTACTTATGGACCCCAACTAGTATGGCTACTTTGTGTGATTGAATCTTTGTGGTTCTTCCTGTATTCTTCAGCATGATTGCCTCTGAATCCAAACTTATGTCTCACTGTGTTTAGCCAGCATGTTTATTGCAATGCTTAAGTCTTGTGTGTTCTTAAATAGCATGCTTATCACTAAGTATGATTGTAATTTAGACCTTAAATCAGTATTTATGCTTGCTCTGTGTCTCTATTAACTAACATAACTGCCTTCATCCTTCTTCTTATGTGCTCATGTTTCAAGTATCTTGTGTTCCCAACCCCTGCTCCTTTTGTGTAACTATTTGTACATCTAGAACTGATTGACAAAGTGAAGTTGAAACTGGGCGATGTGATGTTTTTGTGACTATGCTGTTGTTTACTGAACCTTCCTTTCCCTCAAAAGGTTTTCAACATGTTTTTTCACTCCTAATATGTTTCCCCAAACTTGATGGGCTTATGGTCTTTTAATCTATATTTTGATGATCTAACAAACTTTCTGTATAGAACCAGATAAAGGACCTGAAGCATGGCTGGTACAATCATTCAAGTTAATCAACTCAAGATAATTTGGGCAGTGTGCCTTTAGATTCACAAGAACCAGATTAGGGACCTGATCCCTTGGTGTTCCCCTGACAGAAGTATAAGTCAACTATACAGCTGGAAAGCAACTGCAGAAAGTGAGTGCCTGCAACAGTGCAGCAGACAGTGCAGCAGTCACTTCCCATTGGGAAGAGGCGTGTACCAACCAAGAATTGACATCATCCTTGGGATGTCTTTGGTAGTATAACAACATGGTGTAAGGCACAAGATATTTACTTGAGCATTCAGTGATATTCTTTGGAGTTCTAGCCACAACCTCTCTCAAGAACAAAGCTGCTGCAACCTCAAGGACCAGATCCAAAGATTGAAGATAGCTAAAGTCCTTAGGTTTGTTGAGTCTTTGTTATTTGTTCTTCATTATAACTCCTATCTTGCTTTATTAGAAGCTTTGTTTTAGGAAACTCAAAATCATAAACCATCTGAGTTTGTGTTGTGGCTAGAGTTAGTCATAGGTTGAAGTCTTTGTAACTAATGAGTGACAAAGTGGCTTGTGATAAGTGTATTACAAGTTAGAGTGATTGAAGTCTTTGTAACTAGTGAGTGAGAAAGTGGCTTGTGA